TGCTGCACCACCAGGGAGGGCCCCTTTGTGTCTATTTTTATTCCAATGCCATACTGGTTTGATTACCTGCAGTGTAGCTGAAGTCTGGAAGTGTGATACATACAATTTTTGAGTTACTTGAGGCTTCTGTGGTTCCTTATAATTTCTGTAATGTTTCTTCTATGTCTATGCCACTGAAACTTTGATAGGGATTGTATTGAATCTATATATTGCTTAGGCAAGATGGCCATTTTAACAATGTTAATTCTTCAAATCTATGAGCAGCAGGTATCTTTTCACTACTTTGTGTTTCACATTTCTTTTAACAATGTTTTATAGTTTTCATTGTATACAGTCTTTGCTAGTTTTATTCCTGGGACTTTTTTTTTTAATGTTTCGGCAAATAGGACTTTTTTCTTTGACTTTTTTCCCTCTTTTAGTTCATTGCTTACATATAGGAATACAACTAATTTTTTACATATTAATTTTAAAGTTTAAGAGTCAGATGATTATACACATAACTACAAACATCTTTAGGCCAATTAATTAGATAACTGAAAAGAAATGCACACATTCTTAGGTGCATTCAACTTTTCAAGAGTGAATCTGCAAGAAAAAGAAAACCTGGATAGACTAATTGCAAACAAGTGTTAAAAAAAAAAAAAAAGTAATTAAAGGTCTCTCAGAGAACAAAAGCTCAGGACCAGATGGTTTCACTGGTGAGTTCTATAAACCCTTTAAAGATGACTTAAATGATACTTAAAAGATGTAAGATTAGTACTTAATCTTTTCCAACCTTCCCAAATTGAGAACTATGCTTCCAAACACGTTTTATGAATCAAACATTATTCTGATACAAAAGCAGACAAGGACATCACCAAAAAAGAAAGAAAAAAGGAAAGAAAGAAAACTTAAGAACATAGACCCAAAAAATCCTCAACAAAATTTCAGCAAATCACATTCAACACTACAGTAAAAGAATCATCTATCCTCACCAAGTGGAATTTAGTCCATGGATACAAAACAATCAATGTAATTCACCACATCAACAAAAGGGAAGATAAGGCATATTAATTGATGCATTTGAAAAAAAAATCAGCTTCCATTTACGATTACAAACTCAAATTAAAATGGGGATAGAAGGAGCATACTGCAACTTGATAAAGGTCTTACATTATAAACCCATAGTACAGCATCATACTGAATAGTAAGAAATTGAAAGCTTTTTCTCTAAGATCAGGCACAAGGCAAAAATGTCCACTTTCATGTCTTTACTTAGCATAATACTGGACGTCCCAGCTAGAACAATTAAACAAGAAAAAACTATAAAATGAATCCATATTGGGAAAGATGTAAAACTATCATCATTTTCAGATGGCATAATACACATAGAAAAACCCAAAGACTCAACTAAGAAACTGTCAGAAACAATAATCAATACAGTATATTGGAAAACCTTTCCCATGGTATTAATTTTACGGATTTCTATCCTTCCAAATAGCTCCTATGCACAATGAAATATACAGAATCTCCATATTACAGACAAAAAAGTACAGTCATCCTATGTATAAGGCTCTATGATTTTTAATAAAGAAATATTTCCATAAAGATGAGCCACACTCTTACTATATGATGGATTATAATTAAACTAATCCCTTAAGGGTGGATATCTTGTTGGTTTGTATTTTCCACATTACATGTAATAACCCTATGTGCAACGCTACTCTTCTGCATTTTTGTGAGCATTGCTCTAGAGAATGCACTTGCACTGGTCACAATGACCAGATCAAGGAAAGACCTGGTGTACGTTTTACTATGTATCACCAACTGTATGCCCACTTACTTTCTTCCACCCTTGTTATTACTGGGAATTATGACTCTTCACAAACATGTAAGTAAGACGGATTTTACTTCATCATTTTGTCTTTATCAACATTTCTATTACTGCTGTGTAAAGGTTCACTGATTCTACTATTCTTTACTATATGCAGGAACTACATATAAACTGTTGAAAGAGAAAATGACCCTCCCCTTCAGGCTATAGGGCCAACTAATCCATATTTAAGTATAAACCGTGATAAATGATGACAGACAAAGAGAGTCTGAAGATGGAGGATAACCAGCAAGGAGATAAGGAATTCACTCCGAAAAGAGGGTCAGGAAAAGCTTCTTGAAGGTGACATTTAATCAGAGATAAAGGAATTAGCCATGCAAAGAGTTAGGCTGTGGCCTGTGGGGACAGAGCTGTAGGCTTAGGACACAATCACTGTGTGCAGTTTGCCAACCTGCAAAGGCAAATAACAGTTGCCCAGTTAAAGAGCAGAAAGGAAGACCATGAACATGAAAATATGTGAACTCATTTTTCTTTCAATCTCCTCTTTCTGTTATTCATTTGTTTTTCTAATGAAACATATTTTTCTTATTCATCTGTAGAAGTTCTCCACATTTGATGGTCATTAGTACCTTCTCATATATTGCAAATGTTGTCTATAATTTGTCTTTTCCTTCAATAAGCTTACAATGCCTTTAATTAAACTAAAATATTTCTATAGTTAACCTTGTCAAGGGTATAAGTTCCATGTGATATTTAACAAGGCCTCTCTAACCTTACGAACATAAAAATAACCTTTTGCTTAATTTGAGGTTTTCATTTTGTTTTCTATATTTATATCTTTGCTTCATCTGGAATTTATTTTGTGTAAAAAGTGATGCATGGATCCAGAGTTCTATTTCCCTGTTCTTTTCTCAAAAGACAACCCACTGGTCAGAAAACATTATTTTCTCTGCTAAACTGAAGCAGAAAGTTCTGTTCTTTCAAGTATAGGTTACAGGTAGTACAACTGTCAGATTGTTCAACATGAGTCTTGGGGTCTGAATAGGTCATGTGCTGAGAAAAACAGAGGAGGAATGACAACTATTGAAAACATCAATTATCAAATGTTGAGTTATAATGTTAATTGTAATTTAACATATTAATTTTAATTAAATTAATAATCATACATTCTAAATATCTACTTAATAAATGAGTAGAGGTAACAAAATATTAGTAGTATATTTACCTGATATGTGTCTGTTGTTTAGCTAAGACACCCCACATGTCACTAATAATCTGAAAATAGATGTTTAAATACTTTAGAATGGCTAAGAAATGTTTAATTGAAGAATCCTCTAAATTTCAAAACCATAATTAAAAATATAGGCAGCATGGATGTAAGACATAACTCAAAAATAATAATTATAACAACATAACCTTGCATTTACACATGGCCATATCTCGTAGCTAACAATCCTATTCAGGTAGATTTTATTATCCGCATTTTGTGAAAGAATAACAGGCTCGGATGAATTAAATGATCTCCTGAAGGCAGACAACTAAGAAGCATTACTAAGTTTTCAAACCTAACCTTCTGGCTTCTGGTTGTCAACCACCACACCAGGTTGTTAGTAATGCCTTTCTCTTACTGCAGAAGTGGGTCAGAGATTAAGCACAACTAAGACACTCACTGTGTTTTCGTACTTAGCAGCAACTGCAGCTTATTTAACCTGCAACCCTGCTCCAGTACAGATGTTCTGTATAACATCGATGGCTCTTAAAAGAACCACTCAACTGCTGGAACGCTTTTCCTAATAAGCCCCACCTCCTGAAATTTGCCCCAATTCTAAGGTTCCAAAATAATTGTTAATCTTAGTTTCAAGTGGCAGGCATTTTCGTATTTGAAAATGAATATCCTTTTACTGTTTGAGCCTTTTCTCCTTTAAACCAAACATCCTAACTTCTTTAAACTCATCTTATGGTTTCCATCATCTCCATCCACCCAGGTAGCGACCTTATGAATGACTACCATCATTTGCTATTTTTTTACTACCTACTGGGAACACACTGACATAAAGTGTACAAATGTGCAAAGGAAGTAGAGTCTGGCAATAGCAAAAACTGACAAACTATAACCTGATTAGAACTTGCCTAGGGCTGTGAGACTACATAGCTAAACATCATACGGAGCACAGCAAAGGACAAAGTCAGAGTCTGATTCTTGCTCTTCCTTGCTATTTAATGACATGAGGGGAGGTTGTTATCACCTCTCTGCTCCTCCAATTCTGCATCTATCAAAATGGGGATAATATCACCTGGGCCGTTTAATAATCAATTGAAATAATATATGTGAAATGTTTTGGAAGAGTACAAAACACAAGGCAAATATATAACGTGAGTGGTAATTAAAGCACAGAATAGTCTACAAAAATTGCCCTAACACCGTAGTCAGTTCTATATATCAGAAAACTTTTAGGGTTCGTCATCTATTTTTCTATCATAGATTAATCCCAATTAATTCTCTCAAAGCACTTTTAGTTACAGAGTTCACCAACTCATAAAAAAGAGAATATCATACGAGCTCTTCTTCCCTAAAGACTAGAACTGCCCAAGCCTGATTTACAACTGAGTTTAGAATTTCATTCTCAAAGCAAGTGGGGAGTTTAACTATTTTATCAAGTTTAGTAGAGCTTGTTAATATTCTATTTTTTCCTTCTGGTTAATAATAAACATGAACCAGGAGTTAATGAACACTGCACAAATCACTTGGACGTACACTGAATATTTTAGGGGGACTATCACATAAAAACTAAAAGTGAGTCAGTGATACTTTACACAGGCAAAACAACTGTATCTAGGCCAACATGGTCTCTCTGATTGTATCTTTCAAAACACATGACTACAAACATTTAAGTTATTCTTTTCTATGTCTACGCTAACAGCAGAGTATTCTTTAAGATTTTTAACTCATCAAAAGCTATTATATTACTAAGAAAATTCAGAATATGCTTCTATTGGCCTACACAAAATTATTAGGACATACTGATATGTAGCCTAGTAGAGCAAGTAGTAGGTAAAAAACCAGAAAATGTGTTATTATAAGAAAGATTCTCAAGTGACAGACATACCTTTCTAAGAATTGCAACAAAAACGACCAGAACAACCGGGAGCAACAATGTCTTGGTATACCGCAATGGAGTCTGAAATTGAGAGGTGCTTTGTTAGAAGAAAAATTATTTTACAGATAAAATTGTATTTCAAACATGAACTAACTTAATTTTTTAAAGGATGAACAGAACAAGAACACTCACCTATCTAGGATTCGATCTACCCACAAAGACATATCTCTACAGAAACAAACTTACCCTAAATGTTGAGTTGAAAATACTAACAAATACTGTCAGTCCCACACTCTTTTAAGTGTAAAATATGACTAAAGGGCACATGACTCTGTATCACTACTTTTCTCAGAGCCCGAATTCATATTCATTTAAGGGCAGTAGAGCTCCTTTAAATGGAATGACCTTTTCCTGTATATTCTGTAAAAAAGTCTCCTTCCACACAACACACATGACAATAATGACCAATGTTTACAAGAGGAAACATTTTACATCTTCTCAGGATAAAAAAAGAAAGGAAAAATTTGATAACAAAGCCCTACACAGTGCAATCCTGTGCAGAATCTCAAGCATTCCTAGTCTTGAAATGTTTACATTATCATTATTCTGTTCCCCTCCACACTATCCCCCTAAAAAGTAACCCTGTATTACTGAGTCAAATGATGCATGCTTCCCAAAGAATTTTTATAAAGAGAAATTTAGTCTCAAATATGCTTTAAAAAAAAATGCTGGTATGGGGCCCTCCCTGGTGGCACAACAGGTTAGGATGCAGCACTGCAACCTAGCTGCAGCTGCTTCGGTATGAGTTCAATCCCAGCCCCGGGAATGACCCACATGGCGTGGGAGACCTCCCCTGACCCGCCCGCTGCTCCCCTCAGCAGTGTACTTTATCGATCTGCCTGTTCTGCGCCCCACTCTGTCTCTGGTGAATCCTTTCACTGCCCCTGCACCTCTGGCTTGTAGCCCTGTTCTTGATGCATAAATAAATTCTTAAGAAAAAATAGTGGCATGTTTTAATACTACAAGGTACATAATAAGCTGCATTTTATCACTTTCCCTCTTGTTCCAAATTTTTACTTATTATTTCAATGTAGACAAGTAATTTTGATAGTTTTTATACAGAATGCACATATCATACAATCAAAAGTCTCACTTAGAATTTGTACATTTAAAATTTTACTGTTTACCTTTATAAGTGAGTTCATAGTACTTAATATTTAGAACATAAATTTATTCTTAAATTTAAGAACATTTGTAAAATACAGGGTCACTTTAAAAAGGCAATGTGTCAAAATTTTGTAAAAGTACTTAACAAAGTTTAAGAAGTCAAACAATTTAAACATTACTTTCCAGAAGATTTTCTAAAATGCATTTTTTAACACTTCTTTTAGAAAAGAAGTCCGAAAAGCATCAAACTTAAATGGTAACACTTTAAACCAGAGAAAGAGATTAAGGTAGGCAAAGAAAGACACTGAACCGGAGCGCTTATATCTATCCAAAAAGACCTACATGTGTAAATGTGACAAGACACTCTGATCAAGTGAAAACAGAAGGGATTTCTGATCCCATGAACATTTCCTGAGGAATCTTTTATTCCTTTATCTGTGATGTTTTCTTCATTTCTGACATACACACAAACACACAGAATACGCATGGGTCTACCCAGCACTACACTGTCTGTAGTGTAGTGCTACCAATGTACCAATGGACTTGTCTTGGTTCCCTGCACTTTAACTACTGTTGCTGTCCACTTTCCTTTCTAAAAGGGAAGGATCCACCTCATTCCTTTCACTTTAATAGCACAATACACAAAAGTATATTCTAGAAAGTGAAAAATTACACAAAAAAATCACCATCTAAAGACACTGCTGAAATTTTGCTCTTTAAAAAAAAATTTTTATTTATTTCTGCATACAGAACTAGGGTACAGGTCAGAGGTGCAGGGGAGGTGAGAGGTTTCACCAGAGACAGAGTGGGGAGCTGAACAGGCAGATCGACAGTCTACTGCTGAGGGGAGCAGTGGGCGGGTCAGGAGAGGTCTGCCACGCCATGTGGGTCACCTCCGGGGCGGGAATCGAACTCATGCTGAAGTGGCTTAAGCTTCTTAGTGCTGTGCTTTAACCTGCTGCACCACCAGGGTGGGCCCAAAATTTTTGCTCTTACACTTTATTACATGTAAATAAGATGGTACTTATTCCCTCCATTATCTAACTACTGTCTTTCTATATTAACATAAAGTATGAGAATGTGCCCTGACGCTACCATACAGTTCCTGCGATGGTTATTTGCAGCAATGCAGGAAACAGTTTTGTCATTTTCTTCAACCTAACTCATCTCAAGTTATACTTCAAACAATTTCTTCAACCGCACAGTTGGTGGTTCATATGCTCAGGCACATGGTCCTCATAATATCAAAGGGCTTCCTCTAGATCCTAACTCTCTGACAATGTTTAGCCTCTATTTCTCTTACTAATTCCTTGAGAAAGTTTCGATCTCTTAGGAGTATAAACTGTAATGTCCTGCAGGACATACCTCCTTAGTTTCTTTCAGCAAGCTCAGCACTATCATCCATACACCTTTGAGCTGTCACTAAGTGTCAAAGCCATTTGTTAGCACACAGGGAAAGAAGACTGACACGTGTCTGGAGGAAACAGTACATGTGCAGGGCAGACTCTACTCAGAATGTCCAGCTGGTGAGAACCTGCAGTGTGGTACACTACCATGCACTGGTATCTAACTCCAGTTACAGGGTTCACCCAGGAGGATCAAAGAGGAAAATGAATGTGGGCAGAGTAATGTTGGCAAATTTACTGCCTACACACATACAGCTTTAAGGAAACGTGTGTCATAGATAATAAAATAATTTATAACACACGAGCAGTATTAACAAAGATATATAAATGCATGCTTGTTGAACCAAGCCAGCTCATAAAGAACTGCAAGATATATTTTATATAAAATATCACTAAAATATTAAAGTACTTTCCAAAATACTTCATTTTGCCTCACAATGTCTGTTTAGCACACTCCTAGAAACTAATAAGCTGTGCCACAAAGAATGAGTCATTTCTTCAAGAACATCAAGTAATATTGCAGGCTTCTGTCTCACAGTTCACTAAACTACTCTCTGATTTTCTTCTATACATCTAAATATAGTTTTAGAATGAAAAATGTTCTTGGAATGAAAAACTTGCACTCACTACTACTGTTATTTCAAAGCAATGTGATCATTCAACAAACAACCACAAAGTGGGTGGAAATGTAAGAGCTTCACTGAATTAATGAAATCTTGGGAAAGACATGCTTAACATGCTACTGTGTTTATAAAAAAAAAAAAAAAAAAGACTGCTAGTCTGAATACATGTTTCTAAATATCAAAATGAGAAAATGCCAAACGGTTCATGGAGATGTACTAATGCAAACAGGAGTATCCTCCTCTCAACTACTGGGTTTTCCCATTTCTTTAAAATAAGTTAACAACATCGAGGAAAGAGCCTAAGGGGGAAACACACACACACACAAACACAAATATATACCCTTTATGAAAAATGAATGGGTTAAAGTAGAAATCACATCTTACCTCTTTCTCCATAAAGTCAAATTCTGCTGCACAGGTATACAATAAAGTATCAAAATCCTTATAACTGAAGAATTTTGATGTTAGTAAGTTGCCAATATGAGCCTAGTAAGGAATGAAGTGAGGTACTATTAGATTATGCTATACAGTGTAATAATGCATTTCAATCTTAATGATATCTAAGAATGTCTTCATTATAAAGTATAAAGTCTACTATTTCTGTACTAGGTTTGCTTCTGTTAAAGAAGAAAGTCTGTGCTCTGTAATTTTAGGGCTCTCTCTTCTTTTGCTGACGTGATAATGCCAACAGCACTCTGGCTTCCATGACCAATCAACATACAAGAGGCTTTTATCCTGGGTTTTCTGTGCTCACTGTGCTAATAACCCTGCTGAAATATACTACACACCATTTCCTTTCTAGAGTTTGTCAGGATGGGCTTGAGAATCATAAATACACAAAGGGCAATGGAATAAAAAAAGAAATACTAACTCAAATTTCTGCAAAAGATTGAAAAGACTTTGTGAAACAAAGTCTTGGGCAAGTTTTGGCATAAAACATACCTTTTGACTCATAATCAATCCACATAATTCGTTACATGATGGCAGGTGCTCTTAATTGCATTGGTTTGACTAATTCCCACAAAATGTTATGTGAGGATGGTGTACTTATTATAACAAATGAGAAAACATTTACCAACCTCCCAAGTTCATTACTGTGCAAAACACAAAGACTACAGAAAAGGGGGAAGTTATATCTAAGAAAAACCATACCTAACACCTACCTGGTATCTGCATGAAGAGGGGGAGGAGAAGTTAAAGGGTGCTGAGAATGGTCTGAAGAATTTTAAAATTAATCTTATTGGGGAGGAAATGTATATTGATAAAGTTAAGAACTCAACAGGGAGGCTATATAGCACTTCAAAGAGCATAGAAAGCAATCTACCTAATAAAAAAGTTTTTCAAGGTAAAATAATTAGAAAACATCAAATAAAATAGAAGTAATAAGCCTAATATAATAATTGTCAGCTATGTGAAGAGTTAAAGTTCACTAAGGATGTATTATATTACGATCTCTGTTTAAAAGTTTAAAAGTCTCTTGGCCCTCCCTGGTGGCGCAGCGGGTTAAAGCACAGCACTGAGAATCTAAAGCCGCTTCCTCATGAGTTCGATTCCCGCCTGCCCCGGAGGTGACCACATGGCGTGGCAGACCTCTCCTGGCCCGCCCGCTGCTCCCCTCAGCAGTGGACTTCGTTGATCTGCCTGTTCTGCTCCCCACTCTGTCTCTGGTGAATCCTCTCACCCTCCGCATCTCTGGCCTGTACCCCAGTTCTGTATGAATAAATAAATAAATCTTTAAAAAAAATCATTCTTAAAAAAAAAAAAGTTTAAAAGTCTCTGAAAATGGTGGCTTTATCTGTTACAAAAGGAAAGTAAAATAAACCAAAGAAAAATTACCACAAAGACTTAAATTTTAAACTTAAACCTCTAGAAACTTCTTGCTTTAAAATTTTAAAGTCTTTGTGTATAGGAAGAATAATAGAGACTATATATATAGTCATGTTTATTTCCTATAAGAGTAAAGAAACAACAGGTGGATAGACTTCAACTTAGACTTTGACTTAAATAGAGGGTCTTAACTAACGTCAGCAATGTAGTATTGTTTAATTCAAGTCTTAGCAAAATGCACTTACATCATCTGCAATGCCAAAGATTTTAGATGTCAAATACTTGAGTGTGACAGTTCCAAATAACCAAAAACATCCTTGTATAATCTACAAAAGACAAATGTAACATGACAAAAATAAACCAATGACACAGAAAAGGAAGAAAAAAAAATTTTAATCATACATGAGACAAATATGTTGATATCCAAGAGAAAATGCTAAAAAATGTATTTCTCGAATTAAAAGAATGCTACTCCAAAATCCAGAGACTAGCACGAAAACGACATCTAAAACCTAATTATAAAAACATATTTTATAGAAGGTTTATGTAGCCATTTCAGTAAAACTGCTGTCTTGTTAACAGTTTCTTATACGTGCTGTGCTCCTCAGCAAAAGATATTGGTAATAAAATAAGCAAAACTGAAATTCTTTGACTACCAATCCAATATTAATGCTAACTTACTTCATATAAAGGGCAATTCAGCACATTACAATTGAGCCTTAATATGTTGTAAAACTGTTAGATTCCTTGCATTACATAGATCATTTCCTTAAAAGTAAAACACAAAACCAATGATATATTTTAGAGAAGGAAAACATAAGCAATCAAATAGATTGATTCTTACCCATAAACTAACTTCAGAAACATTCATTTTCAAGATATGTGGCTTCATTGCTAGTATGGCCTGCATGGAGAAAATAATGTGAAATAGTAATGATAGATATAAATTTAAGAACTAAAAAAATCCCTCTATGTAATAAAACTCTTAAGAATATAAAATTTAGCACATTGTCCATGTTTCACACAGCAGCACCACAAGCTCACTGACTTTAAGAAATGGCCCTACTTTATCAAAGTAGGTTAGGTCAGGTCAATAGTTGTGTAAAGTTGAAAACAGATTACCACATATAAATTCCATGCCTGATTTTACATCTCTGATTTACCTATGAGTCAAATTATCTAACAATTTCACAAATTCTTAAGTAATTATTCTTTACATCAAATATTCTAGACTCAGAATAACTTCAAGTGCATCAGCTAACTACTTTTCTGTCAAATCTCATGTCTTTCCATACATACTATCAACTCCCAAAGTGTAATAAATATAGGACGCTAAATCTATTTCAAACTTGACAAAAAAAAGTGGTTAGAGATCAAAACATAAATACATGAAACAAATTAAATATTTTCAGAAATTTCTGTATATTTGAGAGAACATAACATGACTTAATATTGTTTCAAAGCAGTAAGTGTAGATAAAAAATGAAAATACTGTTTTTAAAATAATCTGTTTATAGTTAAATATGTATAAACATACTATGTTCTTCAGCTGTCAGCCTCATTTATTTTTACTCATCAAAATACATGAAATATAAGTAAATATGCTACATTCACACCTAAGACACTCCTCAGTCTCAAGCAACTAGTCAGAAACTTGGTATATTGTAAGTGCTCAACAGAGATTTCCTGCAAGATGTGCTGAGATTACCTTTGATTGCTATGCCATCTTCCTTTCAATGACTTCCCTGTACACAAGTACCACCAAGGTCACTACTAACTTAAGTAACAGTGGGGTTGCCCATGTACACATGGTAAGATACAAAATTAAGTACTGTCATGCTGCCAATTACAAACAGAAGTCACTGACTCTGAGAAGAACCCCTTTCATCTGAAAGCATAGCAACTCAGCTAATGATTTTTTGTCACTGTTGAAAGCACAGCACAACCATATGCTAATTGCTGATTTCTGTAACTAACTATGCTCGAGTCATACAACCTAAAATAATTGTGGCCTAGATTGGGAAGAGGCATATTTTTGGGAAATTGTTTCTTAAATATTACTTATAAAATAAGACAGAGAAATAAGAGGTTGCAAATTTGTTAATGGGTTCTACCAAAATGATCTAACTAACATAAATGATAATCCAAGAAATAGAATTAAGACAGGACAAACAGGCCAATTCTAAAGCACATGCACTTTTAGGGGCTCTCTGGTGATGCAGGGGTTAAGTTGAACACTAGGAATCAATAAACATGAGTTTAATCCCCAGCCAGCGAGGTGACCCACATGGCACAGCAGACCTCTCCTGTCTCCCCACACTGCTCCCCTCAGCAGTGTAAACTTTAGTAGATCAACCTGTTCTGCCCTCCACTCTGTCTCTGGTGAATCTTCTCAGCCCCAGCACTGGCCTGTACCCCAGTTCTTGTATGCATAAGTAAGTCAATCTTAAAAAAAAGGACATGCACGTTAAATATAAAGCAGATCTTTCCTCTTAAGTTGGCAAAATATTGTAATGGTGAAACCACTAATAACAAAAGAACAACCACCTTTGGAAGCTCTTTAATTTAGTAAGATTTAGCATTTGAAAGCCATCCTGCTGAAAGAGGAAGAGGTTAGGTGACCTATTGCCATCCACTCAAATTCTTTAAGATGATTTCCTCATAGTACAAATATGCCTTTGGTAGTGATGTCACAAAATATAACTGAATCATCCGATTTAAACTATGTGACTGTTTCATACAACTAGATATGGGCAGTGGGGGAGGGGAGACTAAAAACCAGGCTTCAAGCCACTCATCACAGTGAACAGGAGAGACAGAGGGAGGGGGTTGGAAAGACAAAACGGGGCTCAGAGAGTGAGGCAGGCACAGAATAAAAACTAAAGAGAGGAAGAAAGGAAAGGAGAAAGGAACAGAATCCTTCCTAAAATGAACCCTGGGACCATACTGTAACAGAAAAGAGAAAGACTGGTAGACTGGCACCACAAAGAAGGTGCCATGTTTTCCAGTATGAACTTCTGCTGTGCTGGTTTGCTGTTTTGGAAGTGAGTATTGGAATACATTGTCATACATAGATGTCTACAGTAAAACACTTGAGAGTTTCCGTTAGCAAAGTCTAGGTGAATCTAAAGCCAGTATTTCAAAAAACAGCTGTGTACTAAAAGAACACTTACCCAGATAATGACCAAAGAGGAAGCATAATAAGAAGTTAATAACATTGAGTTTCCAAACATCAAAACAAAACAGAGAGCAAGTGAAAGCTGGAAAAACCCAAGAAAAACATCATTAATATATATATATATATACATATATACAGCAAAAAAAACCACATTGATTTTTATTCTGAAAATTGTACATATCCATAAGTTCAAACTCAAACCCCCAAAGAGCACCACCATCAAGCACCAAGTATCTTGTGTATCCTTCCAGATATGTGTACAAATCCTACAATGTATTTTTGAAAAAACACAAATGGAAATGAGCTATATTATACTTGCTTTTACTCTTAATTTGTTTCAGTTTTCTAGGTGAACCCAAACCAGTCTACATTTATTTAGAATGAAACACTATTCTACTTAAGAGCTGCACTATAATCTAATCAGTCCTGACTATTGCTGAACATTGAAGTGCTTTCCAGTTTTGCTGTCACTCTGTTTTCTTACTACAAAAACTGCTACAAACACCTTTATGTGTTTACCCTGTGTATATATCAATATGCTTATGAGAAGTGGGATTGGTGGGTTATTCCTACATTTTAAAATTTAAAAAAACATTGAGAAATTGTCATCCAAAATGTTGTACCACTCGACTCTCCCACCTATCAGGCATAGGACAGCTAAATATGCATATGTGAAAGAATGAAACAGGATTCCCTAACTCACATCACTCACAAAATGAAGTAGTAATTGACACAGATTTGCATATAAGCTTTGAAATCACAAAACTAGAAGGAAACATAGGGGAGAAGCTCTGTGACACTGGTCTTGGCAATGTTTTTTTTGTTTGTTTTCAGTTTTGGCTTTTTACACATGACACCAAAAACAGGCAGCCAAACCAATAGTAAACAAGCTGGACTATATCAACCTAAAACTCTTCTGCATAGCAAAAGAAATAATCAAAATCTGGAGAATGGGGGAAAATATTTGCAAACCATGTATCAGATAAAGAGTTTCTGTCTAAAAAATATAAGGGAATTCATGCAACCCAAAAGCCAAGAAAAAGGAAAAAATGACATAAGACAGCAAAAAATATTTTTACACTCTGCAAAATACAAAGGTTACCAGAGTGGGTGGGAGGGAAGGTGATTTGGCATTGGCATGGTGATTTGGTGGAGGGTAGGTGAGGCATGTATGTGTAGGTATGAGATAGGATATTATAATCCTCAAGTTACATAGCTATGTAAACAACTGGCAAAACAATAAAGTTGAAAAAATTTAAACAATAAATGGTTTAACAGATTAATAGCAAAGTAAATCTAGTAATATATAAAAAATCGTATTCAGCCCAGAAAAGCAGTTTCTTGCTGAAAGAAAAAAAAATCATTCAATTCATTTCATTAACATTAAAGACGGAAAGTCCACAGGATCATTCAGACAGATAAAGGCATTTGAGGAAGCTAAGCCTTTACTTACTTGTTTTCAAAAGTGTTCAGTTATTTGAGGACATGTTAAAAGAAAAGGCAACTTGTCCCTTAAAAACAATTTAAGCATTAAAACAGTGAAAATAGTGGTTTATACTGAACTGAGTAAATGATGCCATTTTCTATAAGATGTCAGAGAAAAAAAAAGTGCCAAAAGATTTTAGTAGGAATATGACCAAAAACAGAAAACACTAGCCATACTATTCATAATTCGCCACCAGCAATTCCACTGTTAGGTTTCAATTCCCTAGAGAAACTATTAACATATATGTCCCAGGAGGTTTGTGTAAGACACAGTACATTATACATAAAAATGGAAGAAAAACTGAAATTCCTTTCGTTAAAATCGAAAAATAATTAGTGCTTTATTTACACAATGAAAAACATAAAGCAGAGAAAATGTCTTAATTCTAGTGACATACTAATCTCAGAAGCTTAAGTAAAAACTAATTTTAATGAAAGGATACCAGTTTTTTGCAAACCTTAAAAACAATCATAACATTTACAATAAAATGCATTATTTAGGAATACATTATATGATAAGGTTATGAAGTGAAGTTGTGTTCGGGCCACACAGAGCTCTGGGAGTAACAATGGCTCTATTTCACATTTGCAGTGTGAATTCGCAGTTGATCATTTATAATTCTATTCACAGCTTCCCTATATACATGTCCTTTTACATGTATCAGTTATCAGAGAACAAGACATAGTGGTATATTTTAATGATGAAAGCGATTGGAAAATGAAAAACATCAAAATTATCAACCCTAAAAACAAATGTTTTTTAAATATAAATATCATCAAAGTCAACCTTCTAGCATTAGGGTCTTTGTTCCTAGAATATGCTACATGGCTAACTTCCTCTCCTAATCTGCTGCAATACCCCCTTCTCAATACAGCTGCCTCAGGCATCTCATTTGATACTCAACTTCCCATCACTGGCTGTTAGCAATGCTCACCTCCCTGGGGTATCATGATTTGCTTTCTTTTTGATTATAGTTTTTATCATCTTCTAACACACTACATAATTTATCCATTTACTGCATTTATTATTTATGAACCATCTCCTCCTCTTTTCTCCATGCCACTAAAATATAACTGACATATATGTTGGTATCTGTAAAGTTATACATACATACACATGTATGCATATACATATATGTGTATACTTGTGTTTTATATATATATATATATATATATATATATATATTCTCTTTCAGGAATTAATTCTTTTACTGATAACTTAAGTCAGGCACAGTTCTAAAGCATATAATATGACCCAAATTAAAATTTTCTGGGTGGTCTATTTATATTTAAAACAAGGCCTGTTTTTGAATGACACTTCATTACTTATGGAATCATGTTACAAATAGTTTCAGCCAAGAGCAAACCAAACCAAATACTAACCAGAAGTTTGTTTTAAGGTCAAAGTAAGTGAAAACTGAAAAAAGTAAAATCATTACCATGTGTATATAAATGATCTTCCGTAATTTGCATATATCAATATATCCCACAACATATACTGCAAATAATGATGCAATCTGAAATTTAAAAAGATGAGTTAAAAATCAAAAGTAAATGTAATGAAGAGTGGTAAGAATGAAAAAAAGATTACCTTTATTATTCTTTCAAATTGACTTATATTAATGTTAAAAATAAGTTCTTAAGTTTTGCTCTTATCTGCCAATATATTATTGAATTTGGTAAATATATTAATGTAACAAATAGTAATTGCTTTTTCTCTGCCATTCAGTCTTCTTAGTAATTGTCCTCTCATAAAATTGTCTACTTTCAGATTATCCAAAACAATATACATCTAAAAGTCAAGTGACTCTAGTGTCAATACATATGATAAAAAAATGAAAATGTAATTGTAACATATGACAAAAAATAAGTTGTGCTTATTAGACACCTGTTACAAGTATTTCTTTTAGTGTTCTTTTTCTTTAATAAAAGTATTCTTGAGATACAACAAAATTGATCCATTTCAAGTTAGCAGTACTTTCACTATAAAGGTATTTGTAACTTTACAGCTTAGGAAAAAACATGTGTATGCACTTATTCTGAATTCTCAGAATTCTGAATTCTGCAGTTATTTAGATGAAGTAATTAATTAAATGATTATGTACCTCTTAGGAAAATACAGATGAATTAAGTCAAATTATGCCTCTACACCCTTCCTCAATGTACACTAAATTCCATGCTTTTCCAGCTACACAAACATGGTATAAACAACTTGTACAACAACTGAATTCTTGGGCCCTCTCTGGTGGTGTCAGGGGTGAAAGCTTCCGCACTGTGAAGCTAGCAGCAGCCACTGCAGTGGGAGTCCAATCCCCAGCAAGGGCTCTGACCCACACGGCTTGTGGCAGACTTCTCCTGTCTCACTGCTGCTTCCCTCAGCAGTGTACTATGTAGATCTGCCTGTTTTGCTCCCCACTCAGTCTCTGGTGAATCCTCTCACACCCTGCACCTCTGGCCTATACCCCAGTTCTATATGCATAAATAATAAGTAAGTCTTAAAAACAACAACAACAACAACAACTGAATTCTCAAACCTGTAACTTAAGTACCTTCCTCAAGTCTTTTTTATCTCCAAACACACTTTCCCATTAGTAAGAAGAAGAATTTCTCTTCACCAGTGTCATCCCCAGGGGACACTACACAGCTCGATGACTGATGCTGCGTGGCGGCTACCCGGATGGCCATGTTGTCAGTCAGCCTGAGGCCCACAGGAAGCACACTACCAGCTCCCCCACTAAACCATCCCAGCCTGTACCCCACCCTCCAGAAAGAGCAGGAGAGCGCCACTCACTGAAAGCCCCTTCCCATCAGGCACTCAACAACACAAAGCAGGCCCACGGGTTAGAATCCTAAGGATCTTGGACATTTAAACCAGAAACTAATTTAAAATGTAATCAAACTAAATAAAGAAAGCAAGAATTTAGCACAAATAAACTCTGTTTTTAAACTCACTGATAAAAGCAGCTAACTTGACAGACAACTTGCTAAGCACCAGGTAAAGTGTTAAGTCTTATGAGCTTCTCTTCGTGGGATCCTAACCACAGCTCAGTCAAGTCGGTTCTTTTGTCTTCATTATTTGAGAAAGAAGCAAAAAAAACTAATAAAAATTGAGTACTTTGTCCAAGCCAAGAAGCTAGGAGGTAGCGTGAGCACTCAAAACAAGTGGTCTGCCTTCATTTCCTATGGAAGACATTTCTAAGAACCCGGAGTAGCAACTTGTAAAGTGCTTGATATGAATATGAATATGGCTAGCATAAAACAAAAACAAACTAGATGGGGGGAGATAAACACACACACAATTTATTCCCTCTTTAAACATGCTACCCTGGCCGTGCTTTATATCCCTCTGAGAAAAGCTAGATAAATTGCAAATTGGCAGGGGAGTCATAAAATATGACCCATTTAGCTATGTCTATTTGTTATCGTTTTATACTTATCCTTTGTGTAAGAATGCACAGCATTATTCATAAAATGCATTTTAGTAGAAGAAAAGTTACAGTTTACTTAAGAGAAATACTCAAAAGTTATGGCACTCTTCCTCCATCAGGCCCACAAACACTGAATAGCAAAGACTGTCATTTGCATACACTTGACTTGAGTAAGTTAATCCTGTTTGAAAGGAAATAATTCACATTCATTAATAAATCTAGCATATGTTCCTGCCCTGCCTGGCCTTTTAAAAAAGTATTAGTTACTGTAGGGGTTCACATAGTTAAACACACTAAGAAGCTTATTAACTCAATTTAAAAATATAAACATCCTTACCTGAGTAAGAAGTACAAATTGAGCAAACTGCCAGGGAAGCATGAAAAATACATTGGAAATGCAGAGTGCAATCAAGCTTCCCCTATAAAGTTTTGTAGCCCTTGAAAGATAAAATAAATATCAGTAAGTTTAACCACAAAATATCCTAGCCTGACTCCAAACTACTACAAATTAGAACCTCTAAACATGACCTGGTTGTAATAGAAACCAGACATAAAATGAACCAGTGAGATAGAAATTATACCTCCTGACACTCAGTTACAATAATTTTCTATGGAAAGTAAATACCTGTTATTACTGTAAAAGCAATGTCTGCCAGGGAGAGGAGTAGAAAAATTCAGTATAGCCACTGAATTTTTTTCAAACTATATTTTGATGAATTCATAATCAAACATTTCTAAAGTCATGTTCACTAGATTCATTAATTGGGGAGATAACGTCTGTCCGATAACAGAAAATAACATATTCTAAGTGCTGAGTGCTATGCAGACAAGTACTACAAGAACTCAGAACAGGGGCTAAGAAGCTGAAGTAGAGTCTACGGAAGAAGTGAGATAAAAGCTCAGTCTACACAAGTAGGATGTAAGAATGGAGAAGAGACCTTCAGAGGCTTCCCTTTGGTACTGACTTGTAAATTTAGGGGATTTTTAGGAGGATGAGGTATTTATGTTTTTCATGCTGTTTTTAAGAAGCACATTCTTTCTGAGTCAATGAGTCAGTGCAAAGTCCCCCTCATGCCTACTAACATTTTCACAAGGTGCAGTGTGCATATTAACACATCACGGCCAGGTGTGTACCTTTGAGAGGTGAGGCCACCCCCCCTTAGGCTGAACCTACCTGGCCACCAAGAGCCACCAGGAAAGGCCTTTCTTTATTCCTTAAATGACTCTTCTTCACATTCCTTTCTGCTCTTCTATTTCGTTAACACTTAGTTAGCATCTTATTCATATTCATTTTTATTAATTTATTCTTTTAATTGAGGTCACTCTAGGATCCTTTCCATTAGAAAGGATCCTAATGGATCCTAAGGATCCTAATGCACCCACTACCAACTGAGCCACAGTCTACAGCTGTAGTCCGTTGTACTTTCTTCTTGTTTTGTTCTTATCCATGCCTCCTCTCCCACGTCTTGATGTTTCTGCTATTCCCGTCCAACCCTTTCTATCATGTCCCTAAATCAAGCATTTCTAAAATCCAGGTGACCTATAAGAGTTACAAAATCAACTTAACTAGATAAAAGTCACCTTTCTTAATGGAGCAAAGGAGAATAAAACAAAACATATGACTTGATTCTATGTAATATAACGTTTTATCCCATGAAACTTCTCTTTAGGTTGGGTCTTTGTGTGCACCCAATTATGTGATTAGTAGTTCACAACAAAACTAAAGTGCCTCTGACTTCCTATAGATCACAATCAAAGAGTTGATGAGTCACTGTCTAAAACAAAGCATTTCTCTACTGCTTTTAAATACTCAACAAGATTTTCATTTTATGGATAAGGAGAGACATTAAAGATTTATACACAGAATTTACACTCATCTGGCAGTTGAGTACAAAATATACTTGAGGGACAAAGGAGCAAATGAAAAGCAAAAGAATGCCAACTGGTGATCGCAGGGTCGAAACAGCACTGAACCAAGCTGGAAATATTGCTAGGAAGAGACAAGGAGCTAAGACTTTTGTGACTAGTTGTTTATAATAAAGCTAAGTCCCCCCAAAAAATAATTAAAATTCAAAACTGAACAAAACCAATTAATTATGGTAAAACATCTTTCTAGCCTTATTTATAAATGACATCTAGCACTAAGAAATAATCTTTTCTAATTTTATAATATGTTTGGCACTTGCAGCCTATCTCAACATTACTGAACTTCTTACTGTCCCACCCACTGCTTTTTGCCAACACCACAAGGTGTCAACTAGAGGTGGAAACTAAGAATTAAAAGAAATGGCTGTCCTGCCAAAAGATTTCCATTTATAAGGATAAAATATCAGAAGATGTAGATGGCCAAGAAGTTTGGCATAACTCTAGATAAGGATGTTGGTTGTCCCCTTCAACAAAAAAGACTGTGGTTGCTAAGAAAGCATTTGTCACCCTGGTAGAAATGAAAGCATCTGTCACACTCCCAAGCAACCAACCACAGCAGCGGCCAGCAAGGGAGCCGTGCCAGACAAGAAGAAACCGGCATAGGTGCTGAGGAAAACGTGGGTGAAAGCGACAGTGAAGCTGAACCAGCCAGTGGTAAAAGCTGCAGCAGTTTCAGATGGCCAGAAATCTAGGAAGGAAAATGCTGATGGAGACAAAGACCCAGCAAAGGAAAAAAGATGCTGAAGGGACGAAATTCCCCTAAAACTTTCCTGCAGAAACCAAAGTAGAAACAGGAATGAAGAGGTAGATGAGGATGAAAAGACATGATTGAGAAACTAACGAAAAAGGTAAAGGATGATTTTTGCCTCAAAGTACTTGCTGAACCTGACAGAAGAACCTAGCACAAAGCAGCCTCTGAAGCTAAGAAACAGTGACCAGAACAGACTGGCCAGAAGACCACATAGTCTCCCATGGGGTGCACGTCCTGATCCCCCAAAATTGTGTGTCACATTACAAGGCAAACGGGAATGAACACTACCTTCAGATAGGGAGATTATCCTGGATTACCCTGTGTAATCACAGCAGGCCTCAGAAGTGGGAGAGGCAAGAGAGAATTCATCAACAGGAACAAGAAGAGAACTGTTCTCGGCCTGACTCTTTTCACTGATGTTCAGTCTCCAGCTGAAGGCCAGAATGTGGCAAAAGCCTGTCTAATTCTGAGCTTCTACAGGAATTCTCCTGGTACAGCTTTGAACCTAAGAAAGAACCTATACTTAGAACCTAAGTAAGGGTTTTTTTAACCCCTCTAGCTGATTCTCCAGAATATTAAATAATAACTGTAGAAAGAATTACACTTCAATATAGCAGAGCATCCCTTTCTTTGCTCTGAAAAATTGTAATTACCGAATACTCTCTGCCAGCAGCTTTTCCCTTTCTGTCTGTCAATTTTTGAGAAGCTACAGTGGTAACAGCAAGTATTTGGGAAAGCACTGATGGCAGAAATGGAGGATGAGCTCACAAACAGCACCCTCAGATCAGTGAGCCAAGGAGGAAGACTAATAGACAGGTGGAGGAAATGCTTTTGTTACTAACATTTTGAAGTTATTCTTTTTAAACTACCTTTATAAATTGAACCTAGCAACAACAGCATAATCTTATTTTATTATAGTGACTTTTTGTTATGAAAATTTAAGAAATTCTAACTTATGTGACTTAACGCAAAACTAATAACAACAAAGGCTAAGTCAAAGTTACCTGAGAATATGAGTCACAAGCAACATCTGAAGTACGAGGAAGGGGTAGGAGAAGCTTTCTCTGAGAGGCGGGGTCCACATCACACGGGTACACTGAAAGAAGAGTCACCGTTCATGGCACAATTGTCAAAGTGGTTAAATAAGACATACCAAGAAAAAGCTGCTATTTATACTATTTATAAATTCAAAGAGGCATTTTCTCACACATAACTTAAACGGTGTGCTGGAAAACAAGCTACTAGATTTTCCTCCACAGCATAAATGTGAAGTGAGGAACAATTCTGAAAAGGAGACAAACGCGACCCAAGATCTTATAAAATACTAACGTCATGAATTGTCAATAACAAAGTACCCAAAACTTTCAACTACCACCTAAAAGTGGAGAAAATAACAGCTAAAAAATTATCCTGACAAAATTAAAAAGGTTTCATTTGAATCGGCAGTGTCCGTTAGCTATAGTTGTCTTCTTTCTCATGAAATTCATCAAAACTACCCCTAACCAATACCTCAAAACTCTTTGTAGTCATCAGTAAGTTACCACTGATTGTTAGCATTGCTGGCTTAAAAAAAAAAAAATTTTTTTTGTTTTTGTTTTTATTTCTTCTTTGCCCAGATTACCTTGAGCTGCAAAATATTCTGAAGTGGTAGAGAGGGGATAAAACAAAATAGCAAATGTCCAAAAGTAATTATCAACTTCTCTGAGCTCATTTTGGACATAAGTAAATAATGTATGGTACCAGTTTTAGTATTTCTGAGTACATACAAATACACTAATAAGTCTATCTTTCAATTTAAGGAAAAATGAATTGGATTAAGTATAAACAATCTATTATGACTACTTCTAAGCTAGTCACACTAGATGAAACCAATACAACTTTCAGTTCAAGCAGGGCTACTTTAAAGACTACGTAAAATTAAAAACACCATCATGGAAATAAACCATTCCTTTATTTTTCCTCTACCTCAAACTATTAGACACTTCTACTATGGCTACAGAAAGTTTGAGACAAATTTTTCCTCTTGATATCAAAGCTCACTATGGAAGTTATACATGCAAAATAATTAGGAAAAGATATAAAAAGTATTTGACACTTTTTAAAAATCTGTTAGATTAATGATTTTAGCACAGTTGATAGCAAGACAAAGAAAAACTTTAAAAGCAACCAATTTCTATGCAAAAACCACTAAGAAAAAGTTTAAAGTACATAATACACAATTTAAGAGCTTTCTTTATGTAGTGTTCATCCACATTTATTTTCATACCCCAAATTAATTATGCTATGTTGCTTAGAAATTCATTTCTTTTAATGACTGAAGTAGCACAGTTCTCAAAAACTCAATTACATCCTGTGTGAAGTAGGGCTAAAAAGGTCCAACTACAGGACTGCAACAAAGAACAAGGTCTCCCTCCTCTAAAACAGAATGAATGAAATCAAGTGTATGTGAAAGTACTTAACTGGGTCTCCAATAACACTGTGCTTTACCTGATCTAGCACAAATATAACTGCTGTCCCAGAAAACCCATATGATTTGAAAATAGTAATGAGATGTGCTTTAGCATATCTTAAGCATCAACAAGGTTTTTCCCTCTTTAAAATGTTAAGTGGAAAATAAAAATCTTAAAATACCAATGATTTTTAAAGGTATTATCTTGAAGCTTAAAAATTCAAGAAGGAACTGAACTGCATCAAAAAGGATTGCAAATGTTCTAACAAACTACAAGAAATCCATTAATTGTAAAAGGAATTCAATGAAGATCTTACAGCTTTAAAATGTCATTATCTAGTATATAATTTTCAACATACATTTCAAACACTGAATAATGCAACATAATACTGCATAGATATTGATGACAATAGATTTGTAATCTATATTCTACTTATTGAAAGTAGATTTTTTAACCATTTACTCATAAATTCAAAAACTAAATAATTTAGCAATAGATAGCACCATTTTCAACCTCTACTTTCAAACTTTTTCAATATTCCCTTTCTTCTAACATTTCACTGTGAACACTCATGTGCTCCTTTCTTCCATTGCTAAGTGATTATTTCCTATTTTTAGGTCATCTGTTCAGCTCAGCATCTTTGCTTCTTCATGTCTACACTCTAACACTGCTGCATCCATAGTCAAGAAAAGTCCATGTTTTTTTCTGAAAACTCGGATCAAACCAATGAATTATTGTCATACTATTCATTAGTCAAATGTCCTAACCTATATGGACACACTAGCTTTAAATTTTTGATTCCAAATACTCAATATATATACCAATGCTCAAATAATGATCAGCAACTCACAGAATAATTTTTAAAATTCAATCTTGGTTCTACAGTTAGGTTTTAAAATGATTAGGTATAGCTTTGCAACATGCATATTCAAATACTGTAGACAGTGTATAAACACATAAGAGAATTAAGATATGTCACACCCAAAATAAGCTGACCTTGCTTTTCTTTCCATTAAACTAGATAGGATATTAGAAATTCTTTTACAACTTTGATTAATTTCATGGAAAGAATTCATTCACAGCTTGAATTCATATTAGAATTTAATCTAAAGTAAGTTAACTGTAATGATACTACTACAAACTAACAATTACACAGAACTACTATGTGTCTGACATTGTCCTAGGTACTTTACCCTTATAAATTCATTTAATCTTTGCAAAGTATGACCACTTAAGAAAAGGAAAGTGAGAGTAAGAAAGAAAAGATTAAATAACTTGCCGGAGTCACACATCCAACTAAATGGCAGAGCCAGGGTTTGAACCCAGATAGCCTGGATCTATGTTTTTTATAATTCTGTTCCATTAGGAAAACCTCAGATACATAAAAATTTATATAGCAAGGTGTTCTGCAAAAGACACTAAAAGTATTATCAAAGTGTTACATAAACACTTGAAAATAGAAATTAGTACATACATAGCTCAGCAACAAAAGTCACTCCCATTAAAAGACAATCAATTATATACATGGCTGACTTTTTCTGTCTATAGTTAAAGTGCGGCTTTGTAAAGTGAATATAGATTTGTTCAAATCACTAAAAGATATCTGAGAGATAGGTCATTAAAAGTCGATTTAAAATAAGTGCTAATGTTTGAAATTTGATTCAAAATAAGATTAAACATTTTTTTCAAACATTGCTATAGATTAAAATTAAAGAAATCAAAAGAAACTTATATTTCTAGAAGTAAAGTTTCGTATAATTTAAAAAAGAACTTTGAGTGACAACAAAAGAAAAGACTTGTATTTCTAGAAGTAAAATTCCATTAAGATTTTGAAAATATTTGTTGACTACCTACCTCTCCATGATTGAAAAAGAAACACAACACTGTAACCAGGCCTCCTAATCGGCTGCCACTAGAAAAGAGGATAAGAAAATATAACTCAAGTAACAGAAATCCAGGTCAATCCTAACAAAACCCTGAAATAACACAAAATAATAACCTTCCAGTCCTACTAAAAGCTGCGCCACACAAGAACTTGATTATACATATTTACAAAATAGCTTATTTCCTCTATCATTAATCACAGTGTTTCATTTTCTCAAAATCATTTTCTATCATCAAAGTACCCAGAAAACACAGAAACTGATAGGAAATAAAAATTTCTTAATAGTGATGTTATTGTGTGCTACACAATGCAACTTCATCTTCCTTTTTATCTTCTATCCTTTACTTATTCTTTAGCACAACATATTTACTTGTATCCTTCATGCTTTTTTCCTTGGGACACATGACATATATTCAGGACGGTGAAGAGGAAGAAAACAGAGAAGTCCCAACGCATGTGGTTATAAATTAGGAAACCATCACTGCCTGCTGCTTTTGGAAATTCAGAGTACTTTAGCATTTACTTTGAAGACTTTATTAATTCAGTATTTCTTAAAACCTGTCCCCAAACAACTGCTTCATAGAACATACCTGGGGAATACTAGTTTACAGATAAATACTTGCCTTTCCTTTGCTTTCAAAGCATTGCAAAACACAACATAAATACCAAAAGGTGACTCAACCAAATAAATACCAAAGTGTAACGCTAGCTCAGAGACCACAAGGCACAGCAGACCTCGCTAACTGGCACAGCTTCACTTGATCAGGCAAGAGTGATGCATACTTCACTCCCCTCTCCCATGTGGCCAGAGGGAACTGGTAAGGGAAAGGGAGGCTGTTGCAGACTTGTTCCACTGTTGCTTTTCATCTTTAACCTCGAGGCCTTCTTCCTCTCTTTAGTTCATATTGCTTTCTTATCATTTCCCCTCTCAATAACCTTCCTTCTTTGTCTCCATCCATCAAGTATGTGTATGACATAGAGAAGTCAGGAAGGGAACAAAAATCAAACACAGGTTTTATGGGCTGTTATGTTTACTCTTGAGAACATGAGTAAGAAAACAGAAGCGGTGCATGAGGCAGCAGGAATAATCCATGGAGGGGCACAACTGCCTCCTCGATTTCATCCCTACCTCCACAAGGAGACAGGAAGGGTTGGGATCCCCGGACAGATGACTCAGCACAGAGGGTGAAGCTTTCACTTAGAGAGAAGAAACCTATGAAGCTGACATTTTCCCTACAGCACTGGCGATAAAGCCACTTGCTGATCTAGAAAAGAGCTGCCAAAGCTCATGCTTTGAGAAAAGGGGGTGTCTGAAATGCTACCTGCAGCTAAGAAGAGGGGTCGTGAGGGAGATGAGAAGAACTACAGAGCAATCTACTCAAGATTGAGTGAAACTGGAGACCACAACTTTACACAGGCACTACTATGGGATTATGTGATTTTTCTCCACTGGTTATCAACAAACTAGCACAGATTAAAGATTAATAGGGGCACAAAAGCAGCATACTGGCGATAAAGTGGCTGAAATGATGAATCACAGAAACAAAAGGGGTAGATAAAGGATCAGAAAGGAGTACAGGCCAGGGAGCAGAAGTCAGGGTTCTCTCCTCCAAGGAGCAACAACTCTTCAAAAAACAAGCAAAGGGGCAAATGCCAGAGGTCATTCAATGCTACAAAACACTAGAAAAGTTAAGGGTGAGGTACAGGTATATATATATGTATGTACTTATAAGTGAATAAACAAATGCCATTAATTTATTCCAAGAAGACAAAAAGCACAAGTCTATACAATTTTTAAAATGTTTTACTCCCCTACTCCTATTCACCTATGACAATAACAATTTGTGTGGCCATCCTTCCAAATTTTTCTCTATATCCATTTAAACATATATTTTAGTGTGATCATATTAACATCCCCCTGAAATTTGATCTTTATGAAGCAATACTACACATAACAGAAAGTGAAAGTACATAATATAAACCTACTGCAATATGTCCAGTCTTCCCCTACTATTAGATATATGAGTATCTCTTTGATTTCTTGCTGTAATAAAGAGTTAAACATCCTACTACATCTAGAAACACTGGTGCTTTTATTTCTATGAGATAGACCTAACTCTGAGACTACTAAGTCAAAGAGTAGAAACTTTCCAGGAAACACCTAGCCCACACCCCCACAGTATTATGAGGGGCTCCTGTCTCTCCCACACAGCACTAGAACCTGACACATTTTGCCCTTACTTTGATTTGTACTTTCTGCCCACTTATATAGAGAATCATTTTAGTGTTTATTGACCTTGTACATTTCCTCTTCCGTGAACTGCCAATTCACATTCAAGTCCATTTTTCTATTAGGTTGACTCTTTCCCTATTAAACAGGGATACCATGTTTTTGATTGTTGAATTTTTGACAAGGTCTTTTGGTATAATTTATGGCATATTCTGACAAAA